ATTAATTCCCACCATCCACCCCACCCTGTGGGGCCTCATACCTGCTGTGTCTTCCGTCCCCTACCACTGGGGTCCCATCTCTCCTAAGAGAACACCACCCCCTACCCCACCACCCCACGGCCACCGAGACCATGGCCTCGCAGTCTTTTATCTCTCAGCCACAGTCTTAGAATTCACATTCTTTTATTATGCCAAGAAATTTTAGTCTGTTCTTCAGCTCGACTTTTAGCCTAGTCCCAGGCTTTCCTTTCAGACACCCCAAAAAGGTGATCGATCCGTTTTGAAAAACAAGTGTGCAGGTGCTCTCCCTGAGATGAAGCGTGTAGCTCTTTCTGAATGTGGAAAATTGCCCCACTGCACTGCCAGAGACTGAAGAGACATACAGACAATGGCCAGGCCGTATATAAAGACAGAACTCCGACCCCCAGTCTGTAGTAACCAGCCCAGGAAACCAACCTACTGTCTATAAGTTAGCTTGTAGGAAGTCAGACCATTATCTCTAGTAACCTGTCCAGGAAGCTAAACAATAACCCCGGTAACAATTGGCCCCAAATGGCCAGGACTTGATTAATAACTGACAGCTTCCCTAATTTTTGTCCCCATGTCCAACTTAGGACCAATCAGAGAGTCAACACAGTCCCCGAACCCAATCACGCAGGTCGCTCACCCCTAATTGGCCCATCTGCAGCTTCCCCAGGCCTCCAACCAGGGCACACCTCTGGTTTGTTTTCCACTGCAAAGGTCTCCTCCTCCTCCTCCTCCTGCCTTTGAGTCCCTGCTAACTACAAGTGATGGTGGCCGACTCCCTTGTCACAGCAAGCTCTGAGTACATAGGCTTTGCTTGTTCTTATTTGGTTGGTCTTATTGTATTTCTATAACTAGTTTGATCATTTTAATTTTATATTGATGGGCATCCCCAGGACTTGTTTAAGAGCAGGAACACATGTCGGCATCCTTCCCAGACGTCCATGGGAGGGTTGTGAACTCCAATATTGAAGGAAGGTTTTACGGGAAGGCTCTTGGCAGCCGCAGGGGCGGAGGCAGAGTGGTCAGGGGGACGTGGGCATGGTGGTTGCGGGAGAGGCCGTGTTAGGCAGGACTCCCTGGGGTGAGAGATTCGGTGAATGTCCACCCAATCAATTTCCTCATTTTTACGTAGTAACAAAGGACTGGATATACTGATTGTCTCCTGAATATTTGCTAAAGTTTAAATCATAAATATTTTCTCATGCCAGCAAGCTTTACATTTAAATTTCCTGAATTGAGACTCGCAGTCTCGCAGATATTTATTAAAATATCTACTAGTTCATTGTATGAATGAATCTTAACCTATTTAAGAATTACACCAATTTTGGATATTTATACTTCCATACTTTTGCCATGATAACATACATCAATCAATCCAGCGGGATCAATCCAGCTCAAACTGGCCTAACGGGGGAAAAAAAGCCAAGCGATGGCCCATTTAGCTGAAAGGCTCTGAAGTATGCAGGCTTCAGGCACCGCAGGTTGGTCGGTGTCACCAAAATCCTCTTTCTTTGTTAACCCTGTAGCTCTGCCTTCCTCTGTTGGCTTTGTTCTCTGGTGGCCCTGACCATGTCTGTGGGCCTGGCAGCTCCAGGCTTCCCATTCAGGAATGCCAGGAGAAAGACAGCAGCTGTTTCTCCCAAAGGGGCAGCAAAAGTCCCGGAATTCAGATTATTCGGAGGGAAATGGACGCGGGCCTGTGCATGAAATCGGGCGCAGTGTTGTTGGTGAGGAGCTGTGTGGATTGGTTGGTGGGGCCGACAGTGGCGGGAGAGTGGTGAGCAGTGGTCCTCCCCAGGACCAGCAAGAGGGGCTATCGACCGGGCCGTGGGCAGTCAACACACAAACACACAAACAATAACACAACAGCATAGGAGGGCAGAGCCATGAGGGACCCATGGATCTCCCTAAACCTGGGAAACCTAGAAATGCAGGGCAGGAAGTGAGGGTGAGGGCACGTTACAAGGTTTATGGGTCGGAGGCGGGGTGGGAGCTGCAGCTCTGAGCCCGGAAACGTGGCACCGTGTCGCTATTTCCACAGCTCGGGTCCTCTCAGGACGGCAGCTGGAGACCAAGGCTGGGCTGGACTCTTTTCCTGCAGGCGCTGACCCTGCTGGCCCTGAGGTTGGCCAGTCCAGCTTCCCTTAGAGTGGGCCCTTTTCCCCTCGGAGACATTATGGGGAACCTTCCTTTTCTGCTGAGTCAGGGTACTTATGTCTACATGTGGTGGCTTCGGATGCAACTTCCTTCCTGCTCGCCCATCTCTTCTGTGTTCCTGCTCCTGATAGATGAGTCAGAGCATGGGGTTAGAGAATCCCAGGGCAGGACCCTCCAGCCTGGAGAAGCTTCTGCCCTCCCTGCTGTTGACTGAGGCAACGGCCAGAGGGGGAGTGAGGACGGGGTCAGGGTGGCCCAGCTTGAACCTCATTCCGCCAGGCAGAGCCTGGGGTGTGCGGGAAGACACTGCCCACAAACCCCACACCTTCCCCGACCTCTGCTGTGTAGTCTGACTCCCATCTTCAGGTCCAGGAAACACAAAATTCAAGTTTCCCCCATTCCAAGTTCCCCCAGGGCAGGTCTGACTTCTGTGCTCTGCTTCCCTCTCCGGGTTTGCACCACCTCCTACATCTTAGACTCAAAATTCTTCTCTTTCTTGTTAGCCTTTCCATGGTTTTAAGATTTGCAGTGGTTATCCTCCCTATATGTTTAGTGATTTTCAGTGGGAAGGAAGGTCTGATACATTTGTCTCCGGCCAGAACCTTTTCCAACCTTTTCCAAACTCCAGACTCTCAGCTCTAACGCCTTCCGCTTACCCTCCGCCTGTGCGTCTAATGCGCACATCTAACCCGGCACGTCCCAAGCCGAGCTCCTGATTCTCTTCCATAAAAATTCTCTTGATGACTTTTCCTTTTCCTGCAACTGCTGAGGCCAAAAACATCGGCGTTGTTTGTGACCTTTTTTCTCCGCACGTGCGTCTGATATGTTAACGAGTCCCGTTAATCCATCCTTTTCTCACCACCTCTACCACGCCCTTGCAGATCCGAGCACGCCCGTCTCACATCCCGGGCGCTGAGACAGCTCGGCAGACCCTGGTCGCAGAACGGCAAGCAGAGCGATCCGGGGAAAGCAGGTAAAGGGCTGCCCCTTCTCTGTTCACCCCCGAACTGTCTGCACAACCCACCCGGTGCGAGGGTTGGTTTTAGGCGTCGACTTGCCCAGACCACAGGGTGCCCAGACACTGGGCCTAACGTTATTCTGGGTGTTTCTGCGAGGGGGGTCGGGATGAGATTAGCATTTACATCAGTAAACTGAACGATTGCCCTCCTCAGCATGGCCTCAACAGAACAAAACGCTGACACCCTCGTGAGCAAGGGGAACCCTTTTCTGACCTCCTTCGAGCTGGGACATGAGTTTCTTCCTGCCTTTGGACTTGAACTGAAACACTGGCTCTTCCTGGGTCTCAACTCTGGCGGCTTGTGGAAGAGGAGGACACCATGGGCTCTCCCAGGTCTCCAGCTTGCCAACCGCAGAGCTTGGGACCTGTTGGCCTCCGTAATTGCGTAAGCCAATTTCTTAGAATAAATAAACGAACACACACACTCACACACACACACACTCACACACACACACACACACACACACAAACCCTGTGGGTTCTGCTTCTCTGAGAATTCTGACCAATACACTCAGCAAAAGCCAAGTTCTTACAAGAGCCTCCAAATCGCTTGGTGACCGGACCCAGGACACCCCCAGACGACCGTCCTCGCATGCTCTCCGCTGACCACTCTGCCACACTGTCATCCAGCTGTTTCACAGCACAGCGCCCGTGTTCCCTCCTTGGGAATTCTCAGCGTGCCCGTCCCTTGGAGTGGACCCACACGGGCCGAGACACTTGCAGACTCGTCCCCTCACTTCCTTCACATCCTTGCTCGAATGTCACCTTCTGCATGTGGCTTCCCCAGCCATGCTTTTAAAAGTTTTAGCAGTCCTCAGCGATTCCTCTCCTGGGTTTATGTTTTACTTTTTTTACTTAGGATATGTCATTTTCTAGGCAGCTGTGTGCTCTGATTTTTATATTAAATGCTTGTCTCCCCACTAGGGTTTTTTCCTCACTTTCCTGTCCTAAGAGCACACAGCAGGTGTCCAGGAAACCGCGGCTAACCGCGACTGAAGGAGTAAATACCCAGGGCCAGGCTCTGTCCTGAGCATTTTGCACATATGGACTCATTTAATCCTCACACAGCAATGCCACTATTGTCACTATTTTTCACATGAGCAAACCAAGGCACAAAGAGATTAAGTAATTTTGTAAAGTTCAACAGCCGGCAGCTGAGGGGTCTGGTTCCAGTGTAGGGGTTCTGTGTGCTTGGCCTACTCATTCCAAATGCCCGGCTCTTGGGTCTGGTCTGGCTGTTGACACTAGAGCTGGAGTCTGAGGCTGCCTGGGACAAGGAAAATGATGACATCGGGGGCCCAAATCCAAGGGATCAGGAGACCCCATGGTCACTGGTAGGGGCCACATCTCTCCTGACTGCTCAGGGCCTGGTCATGTCCACCTGGACAATTTGTCCCCCCAAACCTGGACCCCAGCCCGGACTTCCCTGAGCGCAGCTGCCATCATATCCTAATGAATTTGCTCTTTGGTCTCCCTGGGGGTCCAGCAGCTCTGCCCCCCAGAGCTGGCCAGGTGGTGTTCTCTTCCCTGTGTAGACAGTGGTGCATGGGGAAAGCATGGCAGCTATGGGGCCTGGCGACTCCGCACCTTCTGAATCTAGACTTATAAGCCTGGACCCGCAGCCTCCTGGGGAGGGCGGGAACAGGAGGATTTCCCAGCCCCGGCCTCACCCCCCAGGAGAGTCAAGTTCCCCTTCTGTGAGGCCACAGCTCTGCTCACCCACCAGCTTCCTGTACAGACTTCCCCGGCCCCACCCCACACTCGGGGCGTTTCCTTCCCTGACAGGGACAGCCCGCTCCAGACCTGGCCATGCAGACATGCTGGCCCTGCTGCTGCTGCCCCTGCTGTGGGCGGGTGAGTGGGCTGAGGGAGGAGGGACGGGCACGAGTCTTGGGGCAGCCGCAGCTGCAGCTGGGCCTGTGTCTCCCCAGGGTCCCCGCAGGACACAGGGCTCGAGCTGCAAGTGGAGAAGTCGGTGACGGTACAAGAGGGCCTGTGTGTCCTCGTGCCCTGCTCCTTCTCCTACCCGCCGCCCTGGTATCCCTCTGACCCAGTCTACCGCTCCTGGTTCCGGGACGGGGACAACATATACTATGGCAATGCTGTGGCCACAGACAACCCAAACAGAGCCGTGAAGCCACACACCAAGGGCCGATTCCTCCTCCTTGGGGACGCCACGACCAGAAACTGCTCCCTGAGCATCAGAGACGCCAAGACAAAGGACACAGGGACCTACTTGTTCCGAGTGGAGAGCGGCTATTCTGTAAAACATAGTTACGAAGACAATAAGCTGAATCTGCGGGTGACAGGTATGGCAAGGCCCCGGGAGAGGACCCTGGGATGTGGAGTCCCCCGTATTGGAACAGGGACAGGACGTTAGAATATGCCCTGCTCCAGGTCTTGGGGCGGGAGTGGTTAAAAGAGATACGGGACGTGGGGCAAGCTTAGGGCCTGAGGCCCCGTCACTGGCAGGTCACGCTGTGGGTCCCCACCCTCCCGGGGCCTGGGCATCTCCCTCTCTCCTCAGCCCTGACACAGAAACCCGACATCCACTCTCCGGAG